CGCGCCTTGACTGTCGCTAGCAAAACATCGGCTTTTACCTGGCGTTGCCGCGTTGCCCTACAATCCTGCTCCGACCTAGGCTCATGCACTGTGTTTACTTATTTGCTGTTCGTACCGGTCACTTGTAACACACGCACGGTGCAGAAGCACCAGCCCAAGCAAGATGCAAGAAAGCTACGGTTACGCGATCTGAAAAAAAAAAAACTGCTTCGCGTAGCGACAGTCAAGACACGTCACAGTTAGGCCAAGTCAGAAACCTCGCTTACCGCTGTTGACGTTTCTGTGCATAATAGTAGTGCGTTATTACATTTGTAATAAATCGGCACAATGGGCTGGCTCACATAGGCTAAAGATGTTGCATCATCTCTTATTTCCATGAGGCCTGCGAACGAGTACGGCGATGACTTGGTGCTGCATACTACAGGCATACCGCACACAAATTCCAGCTGCAAAGAGAATTAGCGGGCGTCATGGTTGAATGCAAGCAGTAATTTTGTGTATTCACGCTTGCACTTTTACTGGGCTCGTAGTTATTCCTCTTGGTTGCCGCTATAGATGGGTGGCGGAACTTGGCGTTTTTCGTTGTAGATGAAACTCTGAGCAATGTGGTAACACCGCACGAGCACGATTCCCGCGTCGTGCTGTGATCCTCACGCGCAGTGCTGAGTAATAACTTCTTCTGGCGCTGACGGTTTTTCCATCCAAAAGACGGCGCAGTGGTGCCCAGACGACTTCTTGCTAGTGGGAGTGGGGTGAACAGGCACTTTTTCGCCTAATGAAATCCCAGAGGGGCTGCTTTATACACGCCATGGCAGCCAAAAACAAAATACCACCTGCGTGCGAGAGTATGCCTTCGGGAGCGTATAGGTGCCTGGATCTGAGCGAGCAAGGAGAAAAACGGGCTCTGGACACTAGGTGGTCTTGCCAGCGTTCGAGAAAGCGACTACGACAGCACACAAGAGCAGTTCTCAACATTTGAAGAAAAACAAAAACGAAGCAACAGCTGGAAATACGGCCACCTGTTTCCACCAGGAGGGGACGTGGTAAACATTCTAAACCATTTCGATAGCCTATTTCTTTATTTCAGCCCAACACATCGTAGCCCTGTTCATCAACACACGTTAGCAATTGACTGTCCCATGCGCAGTTTGGAGTCAAAATAAATTGTGAATAAATACTCCGATCCAACTCAGTTAATTCTTTTTTTTTTCAAATGTTACTACCGGTTGGTCGCGCTCAGGGTAGTTAGTAGACTCAGCAGTAAAAGGAAATGCGTGTGTGGAGCAGACACACGCAATCGTGACTACAATTGCAAACGGAGTCTCTTACTTTGTCTGGGAGAATACACGTACCAACACTTCGTATCCAGTCAGCCAATACAAAACACGCGAACAGGCGGAGAAGAATACCCAAGCCTCCTTTTTGCAGGCTGCACATCTGCACAACCGAAGCGAACTTATTTCGAATGCTAAACGCATACTCGCTGTTGTGTGCACCATTGTAAACTGTACTGCATAAGATACAACGCAACGTGACTCGAAACTAAAGCTCCGCAGCTCAAACGCGTGCCGATACAGGACATAAGTATGCATGCAGGACATTCGTATGCATGCAGCTGGAACGGACCTTTGTTTGCTGAGGGTGTTCCTTTCAACTCTGTTTACCCGGTATGTATTTACGGTAGAGGATCTCTTTCGAATGAGTTAATCGAGTAATGGCCATTGGTAATATAGAGGGGCGCATGTCGACAGAATTAATGTGCTCCCGTGACGTATTGCTCCTAGCATACGGCCATTGTTCTACTAATGACTAAAACATTCTTAGATGCGAAGAAGCTGTTTGTATCACGTGTGTCGCCATACGTACGTGCGTCCATACGAACGTGCCCCAACACGTTTCATAAATATGACTCGCTGGTCCTGACATGAATGATTTCACAATCCCGTCACGTACGCCATCAAACTCTTCTCGCCGCATATTCATTTAACGCGTGAGAGTTAAGCTGGCATTGGCAACGTTGACTCTACGAATAAAAATAATAAACGTTTGTGTCCTAGCATCGAAATCAAAGCCAAGCAATCTGCGTGGAAACCAATTATTATACTACAGAGCTACGCCAGGTCTTCGAAATAGTTTGTAAGAAGAGGCAAACGTTCGCGAAACGCCAATGCTGGTTCCAGTGTTGACTATCCAATTTCTAGCATATATCTACCACCACTTCATAATGTTTAACTTCAGAAAATTACAACAGAGTCACCTTGCATAGCATTGATTCCCAAGTTACGTGGAATCTGCCAGTTTTTTGTTGTTTTTTGTGGGCAGTAGCTGATGGCGATATGTATGTCGCAAAATATTCCTCATTTGGTATTGGAAAGCGCCAGTACTGTGAAAGCAATGCAGTAGTTCTTATAAAGCATTATGTAAATACCACTTCGAAAACGCAGGGAAATAATAGTTGGCCTCGCACAGCTCGGCCTCCTGAAATCTTCACAGCGCTTGCGGAGAGCAAGGATTGAACGCAATTGCACCCACTCACACAGCAGCGCACCATGCGGGCGCCGCAGGCAGTCATCAGCTGCGGGGCCATCTCCTAGCCCGCGCTCAGCACACTAGGCACTATATTTCTAGACACTGTACCTGCAGGTGCACGCCGTGCTGCGTTGCTTTGGCGCACGCGCGCTTCGGCACGCCCGGCGTCCCTCCATCACAAAGAGAGGCAGACGCAGTGCTGTCGGTGTAGAGCTGGGTAACGTCATGGGTGCGAAATGCAGCATGTTACAGATATCGCCCGTTTGCCGCCGGGCCGCGCCGACAGACACTTGTCACGCCGGTTACACCTGCCGTCCGTTTCACTAGCGCAGCGTTGCTGTGACCTGCGTGCGTGCTCGTCAACGTTACCTCGGATTATATAAGGTCCTTTATGATGCGCTCGCGGCAGTTTCGCTAGCTCCACATAAACCAAATATGGAGTTCTGGGACGTCAATGGATGAGGAAGGTATGTGACTTGTACAAGCATAATTATGACACGCGTGCCATGTAAGAACGTGACAACATGCCACGCTCATGGTGCGCTGGCGGCTGTTTCAACAGCTCCACATAGAGCAAACTTGAGATCACGTGATGTGAATTGACGACAAGGGTAAATGACACGTCCAAACATGATAATCATGATATGCGTGTCATGTAAAGCATAACTAAATGCTACGCTCTTAGCGTGCTCGCGGCCAATTCAAAGCTCTACATACAACAACTTTGGTATTTCGTGACGTGAATGGGTGGATAATGTAAATGACATGTCCGAAAATGAGAATCATAATATGTGTGTCATCTAAAACATGACTACATGCTACTATCATAGAGCGCTCACCGCCGTTTCGCTAGCTCCACATATACCAAGCTTGGTATCGAGTGACCTCAACAGAAGCCGAAAGTAAATGGCCCATGCAAATATGATAACTATGACATGGAAGTCATATAAAGCATAATTTACTTCCGCCTCGTAACGTTGTGTTGATATTAAAGTGAGATATTAACATTCCTCATTTGTGCTTCGCATATTATCGGTTCCCACTGTACGTGGGATCTGCCATTTTTTCAAGTGTCCGCCAACCTGTAACGGGGGCAGGACTCTGTCGCGCTTTTAGTACCATAATCCCCCTATCGAAAGGAAATAAGTTTGATTGATCGAATAAAATATTTTTTGCACATTAGACTGCCGTCTCCACGCGCACTGGACGAATTCATGCGCCCTATTTGAGTGATCTATCAAGTCATCGAGGAATATACAAGAGACGATGAACAAGGGCGAATTGCAAAATCTATGTAGGCATTCTTTGTCGCGTTTGCATGCCATGAAGTGCCCTAAAGGCACAGGTGTGTAAGCTCTATGAACTATTCAACACTCAGGGTAGGCCCCCATTTAAGAGCAGTTGGTCTAATTAAGGCAAAAAGATGAGAAATAAACAATTCCGCCATATCCACGAAGTGAATGATGATGAGTGGGCGAAGCTCCGGAGGTAAACCTGGTAAACCATGAATCCTCTGTACATTTTTCCCACTCGATTTTATTACATCGCTCCCCCTAGCGTACGTCGCCGCACTAAATCGAACGATTGCCTTCAACCAATGACACGCGCCATATGTGACATCATTCCTATTTTATAGAATCTCGCGTCTTTCATCAACTACAAGTACCGCTTTCTAGTTTATAACATCTTGCATCTTTTCATCATCAGCTACAAGTACCACCATCTAGTAAACACTACAAGAACTAAACGAGAGGTGGCTACATACAGGAGACGGTACCGCCATCTAGTGAACACTGCAAGAACTAAACTAGAGGTGGCTACATACAGGGGACTTTACCGCCATCTAGTGAACACTGCAAGAACTAAACTAGAGGTGGCTACATACAGACTACAGAGACGCACAGCCCACGCCCTAAGGAGCTTCGCCCCTAAAAGGTAAACATTTCTGAATTCTCGAAAAAACAAGAAAGTGTTTCACGGCCAACATAGCAGCTGTCAAACCTGTCTGCCAGACGAAAGGATACTACGCTGCAAGCTGCTCACTTGAAGGTGGTATAGCGACTAAGATACTCGGCAGTTGACCTGAAGGTCGCAGAATCGAATCCTGGTTGCGGCGGCTTCATTTTCTATGGAGGCGGAAATGTTGTAGGCCCATGTACTCAGAATTTTATACACGCTAAAGAACCCCAGGTGGTCGAAATTTTCGAAGCTTTCTACTACGGCGTCTCTCATAATCATTTGGTGGTTTGGGGACGTTAAGCCCCGGATAGCAATCAAGCTGCTCACCTGAAAATATCCCTTTTTTATCTGCCAACGTCAGATGTGAGAGCAAGTGGCTTGAGTCTGTTCCGATGATACCAACTACTTGGACGGTGCTTAGCTTTCAAGCCATCGGCGCAGGTGTTGCTGCGCTAGCTTCTTGTTCGCTCTTTATCTACCAGCTTCAGCAGCTGATATCTGCGGCATCGTTTCCTGAGCTCGTAGGTGGCATAGCATCCTGGCTTGCTGCCAGCGGCTATTGCTTCTAATATCTACCCGGCAAAAGTTTTTGCTTTCATGGCCGCTCCGGAGCCCGCTGTGCTCGCCACTGATGTGTCACTACTTGAAAATACGAATCCACAGGCTTGCAACCTAAGTGTCTCAGTGACACGGCCGACTTCACGTAAGAACTCGGCTGCCGTTACCATGCCATCAAGAGTACTGCTACTACCAGACAGCAACACATCCGCCTCGCTTTGGGAGCTCGAGGCCAAAAATAGCACTGAAGGTAAGTCTGACAATTCTTATCAAACTAGCACAGTTTTTACCGCACCGAATGAAAAGGAACCTGTGCGACGCTCACTCTTGTCGACGCCGGACTGACAGCACACTAGCACGGCGAGGGGTGATTTAGCGCGAGAAGCGCACGTCTCACGCTCCCTACTTCCACTCGTTACCAAAACAAAAATGATCGTTGGGTACCAATGGACTATCGCCGTAACCAGCAGTGCTGTGTGGTGGTCGCGATGACACGCTGCTCATTTGCCCCGCATGTTTATCAGTGCACCGTCACCCTGCAGCCGAAGTGCCGTATCAAGGATGAGCTGTTCATACGATTGGTTAGATTATTTGCTCACCGCATTTAGGCTCATCTCAATGTCTGTGAGCATTGCCCACTGCCGAAGTTGAGGAATTTAGGTCATAGCAAGCTGCTCGCAGTCGACACGGCCGCACCGGAGATGTGCAACGCCCTTTTCGTGGTAGCGTCTCTGCCAATCGGCGGAAAGGAAGTGAAATTTGAAGCTTACGAAGCGGGTAATCGCAATCAAATCAGATGCATTATTTGAAATGCTGGAGACATGACTTCTCACGAACTCATGAAGTCATTGCACTGCCACAAGTACTAAATCCTGCAGGCACGCCCACTTTGACAAAGGCATTGCCATGGTCTCATTTGAAGGTAACAGCTTACCAATAAGGTCATCTTGAAATAATTTAGTATACGTGTTTTTCCGTATCGTGAAACAGTGGCTGTTTCTTACATGTTCCAGAAGATAGGGCATCAGGAGTGTTGCCCGAATACTTAGGAACGCAAACCCCAATACATAGTTTCTCGCCTACAATACCTATGTTTGCCTTAAAGTTGAATACGCAAGCGCAGTTTGGCATCCCGGCTACAAAAAAAGAAAAGAATAGCTTTGTGGTGGTACAGAGGTGGGCAGTACGCCTCATATTTAAAAATTTAAAAGAACATATTCACCTTCATTTCAAATTCTTGCAAATCAGATTATAACTTTAGAGCAGTGCAGAAAAATATCAAGATTTAATTTTTTATTTTTGCTTTATAACAACGGACTTAACGAATGCGCATGTGTATCCTCAGTCATTTTTGTCGTGCACGCCGAGACATCGAAATGTACATAATCTACTTGCCTAATAAACGCGCATTATCTCTTCAAGTACTCTTTTTTTCCACGAGCCATTTTCGATTAGACTTCGCTACGTGAAAATATTGCTTCTTTTGAATCTGCTCCTACATTCGACCACAAATGTTTGCGGAATACTTGCGCACGTGCCAAACTGCCGGTCTACGCCACCTAACGGTGCGTCATCTACTGTCGACCGCTGTTCTGGGCTGGATACGGGTCTTCTTACTCACCGGTCTTTGTTTTCTACTGCCGCTCAGGTCATTGTTCGCAGTTTTCACGAGAAGCGCTTGACTGCAGTATGACCTTCACATTGCTGTTTTTATAGGAGGATCAAAACTATCACGGCGTGCATCAAATGGCGTTCTGTTCGATAGGGGCCAATTTGTGATAATGATGTTGGCGGATAACAGTTATGCTCATCGACAGCTGTCCAGGCAGAAGCTAGTAGACGCAGATGCCAAAAGCGCGTCGCGTCGAAAAGCGAAAGGTAAAAATTTTTTGTACCCAGTCAGAAAAGGGACAGGCCATTGATTAGGGGAAACGCTGCTCACATGGCTGAAATGTCGTGAAGAGGCTTTCGGCTGTGCACTCGCGTGGTCCGGCCCCGCCGCGGTGGTCTAGTGGCTAAGGTACTCGGCTGCTGACCCGCAGGGCGCGGGTTCGAATCCCGGCTGCGGCGGCTGCATTTCCGATGTAGGCGGAATTGTTGTAGGCCCGTGTGCTCAGATTTGGGTGCACGTTAAAGAACCCCAGGTGGTCTAAATTTCCGGAGCCCTCCACTACGGCGTCTCTCATAATCATATAGTGGTTTTGGGACGTTAAACCCCACATATCAATCAATCAACTCGCGTGGTCCGTATACTTCTGCGGTGGACTGTATACTTCAAAGTGCGCTACTTACCCATCTTGAAGTGCAGTAAACTACAGAATGTTCATGTGGCATTTTCTATCTGCTTTATCTTCGCTTTCATTTTTGTATTTTGTAATTTTCCACTGTTCTTTTTAATGCAGTGTTACTTCATAAATTGCATATACTCTATTCACACGCCCCAGTTATTTCGGGGAGAGCTTTTTGCTTGTATTTTCTCTACGACTGCCAGCTACTATATGTTTTGCAATCAATAATGGGCGTATTAAGAGCGGAAGAGTGCGGTTGTTTTTTTTTATCCTACTTACGCGTTCATGTATACTGCGAACTATAATTTTTTTTTTACTTTGTTGTCTAGTCAGATCGCACTGGGTTCTTGTTTACGTAATACCTCAAGATATTTTGATAGGTTTGCTTCGTTTCATTTTCTTGTAGCGTGTGTGCCCTACGACTCCTACTATGCTTGTAAACTTGCAACTGTATAATTTCCCACCTGCATAATCCTTTGTGATTGCAGTATACTATTGCCGCGTTCCATTTCTCAAGTTTGTTATCGCCACAAAACACTACACAATTCTCAGCGCAAACCACGCCGGCAGTTTTCGAGAAGCTTCCGGACTTTAGTAGACTGTTTCGATAAGATCACGCCCACTCTGCGAACTGCACAGATTATTCTGGATAATCTGTGCAGTGGAGCACCACCAGCGATAACGTTAGAACATTCGATGGCCAGAATATAAATGCCGACGCACTTCGCCGCTTGTCAGTAGTTGATCGACGGCCGACGCTCGTTCATTGCTATCTGTGCAAGACTGCGCTTGTAATCGGACTTTTAGTTCACCGGGCACAGATTCGCCCAAATAAACAGGTGAATCCCAACACAAAGTATTCTGTTTTCGGCCACGTCACGACCCTTCCCATCTGGTGGAGGTGCTGCTTCGTTCATGTACCGGACGCCCCCGTCAAGCCGTGAACCCAGCCCACGTCACGGAGAAGACACCGACGCCAACCAAGAGAAGCGAACAAGCCGCCGACAGCAAGGTCTCCCATCGGAGTACGGGCTTCTACAAGACAAGGCGCGGAAGACCAAGGCCATGACCTCGACTGCAGTGACAATGACAACCGCAGCGTCCCAGCCCACGATCGTCATTCATCAACCCAGGGAACCACCAACGTTCCATGGACCATCGTTTGAAGACCCAGAAACCTCGCTAGAAATATACGACCACGTGGCCGCCCTCAAAGACTGCGACAACGAAGAAAAGCTCCGTCGTGTGTACTTCTACCTGGAAGACACCGCAAGGACCTGGCTCGAGAATCGGGAGTCCACGCACCGAACGTGGGATGTCTTCTGCGGCGCATTCCTGCAAACGTTCGCGAGCGTTGCTCGCAAAGAGAAGGCCACTGCTCTACAGGAAACCCGGGTTCAGCTACCGAAATGGAAAGGTTGCCATTTTCACAGAAGAGATGACCCGCTTATTCTGTCACGCTGACCCAGACATGCTTGAGGAGAAGAAAGTTCGTTTCCTCATGCCAGTGGTCAAATAGGAGCTCTTCGCGGACTAATGAGGAATCTACCGAACACCGTCTAAGAATTTGTATCCGAGGCGACCACTATCGAAAAAACCCTGGACATTAGCACCAGACAGTATAATCGTCGCCTGACTCCAGATCATGCTGCTGCTCAAGCCAGTGACCCCGAAGACCTGTGTGAAAAAATACGAGCAATCGTGCGTGAACAGCTGCGCAAGCCTCAAGTGGATTCGATCACCGACATTGTGCGAGAAGTAGTTCGGCAATCGTTTCGAATTCCCCAAACACCGCTGCCCGAGCGAGAAAATGTGAGCTACGCCGCTGCAGTCCGCCACAACGCTCCTCCCCGTCAACGCCGCAACGCCGCCCCGTCGCACTTCCGTCGCCAGACGCCCCCGCCGCCACCGGCGCTACCACCCACACCGACGTCCTACCGTTCGCCAGCGGGCCAGCGCAGTGCGCCGAGGAAAACGGAAATTTGGCGTGCACCTGACAACCGCCCGCTCTGCTACCAAATCGGCGAGGCCGGGCACACATACCGCCGTGGCCAGTAACGAAAGATGGGACTGCGTGGCTTCGCCGTTAATGCACCGCGTCCGCAGCCAGGAGATCGGCCACGTGACATCGCCGACTACCTCGCAGGAACTCACTGGACACCACGAAGTCCTTCCCGTTCGCCGTCGCCCAGCCGCCGCATGTCACCGCACCTCCGGCAGTACTCTGGCCCAACGCGGGGCCGGTCTCTTAGCCCGTATCCGGGAAACTAAGGGCAGCAACCGATGGAGGTGCGGTTGCTGTGCGACGAACTACCGAAGATCCTCCGACGACGACGCCGCCGCGACGGAGCTTTTTGAACACCAACCAGGCAAAGCCCTGAAGGCAAAAGCTCACTTACCGAAGGTGGCCGGACGACGCAACATGGAAGCAGCGGAACAAGCCGACGCAGCCGTGACTCGACGCCACGCCCTAACTGTAATGCGAGACGGCGAACTAGCGACTTCGACGTTCTTATCGACGGCCACAGTGTGACTGCTCCCGTCGATACTGGAGCCGACTATTCTGTCATCAGTGGGTCGTTCACCGCAAAGTTAAAGAAAGTTAGGACAGCTTGGAAAGGCCCTGAAATCCGCACAGCCGGAGGTCATCTCGTAACGCCTGCAGGAGTCTGCACAGCGAGAGTCACCATTAACGGCCGTATTTATCCTACAAACTTCGTAGTCCTACAGCGTTGCTCGAGAGATGTCATCCTTTGCATGGACTTCTTATGCCTCCATGGTGCTGTCATCAACCTAAGAACAAAAACGATAACCTTATCCATAGAAGAAGCTCTACCGCCGCACACGCCATCAGGAAACCATGCCTTGAATGTCCCGGAAGAAAAGTCACCATTTCGCCTCGCTCCAGCGTCATTATTTCAGTCGGCCCTCCTAAATTACCTGACTTGGAAGGCGTCGTTTA